GGTAAGATTTGGCTAAGTGAAGGGTTGGATGGAGGGCCGTCCAGGGAGGGAATTTAGAATTTATTCTTTGCCTCCCGCCCCCCCCCCCCCCNTGCCCAGCCGTGCTCTGGCCCCCCTGTGACGCATCTTACCCATGAAGTACAACCCCCTGCGGCCTGCGGGCTTGGTCCGCTGTGGTCTCTGCAGGGGCTCGAAGGGGGCCCGGCCCACACGGGTGCTCAAGGAAGTCACGGAACAGAGGGACAGACCGACACATCCCACAGGTTCTTGCTGTGCCTGGGAGGTCACACCCCCGCCCCCAGGTCCTTGTGCCAAATGACGCAACCTCGCCAGCCCGTCTGTAGCGCTCATGCTGTCCTGTCACACAGACCGGTTAAAACCAAGCTCAGAGGGCACCTGGGTGGCTCAGTCAGTTAAGCTTCCGACTTTGGCTCAGGTCATGATCTCACGGTTCGTGGGTTCGAGCCCCGCGTCGGGCTCTGTACTGACTGCCAGCTCGGACCCTGGAGCCTATTTCAGAGTCTGTATCTCCCTCTCTCTCTGACCCTCCCCTGCTCATGCTGTCTCTCTCTCTAGCTCCTAGAAATAAAAATATTAAAAAAAAAAAAAAAAAAAAAACAAGCTCAGTAATCCCTTCAGTAGGACTAGTGAGTTGTTGGGCTATTTTTGGCTCTGTCACAGCCCCGTGAGGCAGGTCCTCATAATCAGACGTTGGCCTAAATCCAGGCTATTCTCTCAGGAGGAGTTCCACCAGAAGTTCCCCCGCTTTTGCCATACGTCCTCTTTTGGCTTTAAACGCGATGTTCTCCAAAGCGTTTTCTTTGCTCTCCTTCCCCAGCCAGGGCGCCCTTCAGTGACGACGGGGAAGAAAGCCACGGCCAGCCCGTTGCGTCCCAGGCTTCGAACTCAGGCCAGAGCAGACCGCCCCCAATGCTCGTTTGGACGCACGGCTCACGCTTGGGTGCTTCTGAAGACAGAAAACGTGCATAAGCCGGGTTTCCCCTGTCGCACTCACCAGAGCGGGGTAGCGGCTGTCCCCCGAGGCCACTCCTGCCATCCTCGCTCCGCTGCTGACACCCCCCCTGGAGCCGTTTGCGTTTGCAAGTCCTGACTTAATGAGATTCTCCCCTGCTCTGTCTTACAGCGACGTGGCTCCACCCGGAGAACCGCTGGCCACGAACAGCCGACCCAAAGCGGCCCCCCGCTTCCCCAAGCTGTCCCGAGGTCCCCCCAGAGACACACGCAGCGTGGAACCGCAGAGCGGCGACCTCTGACCTCAGCAGCACCCCAGACTCGGGCCCTAGGTGCTGCGCCAGCTGCCTCTACCCAGCCACACTGCGCGTGACCCGGCCGCAGCCGCTGGCCCCTGACTCCCCGGAGGGACAACCACATCAGCCTGGTGACCCCTGAGAGCACCCTCCCACCCGTGCCAGGCCCCTGATTAAACTGCTCAGTCTCCGAGGACAAGGGGGCTCCTCGCGGGCCAGACTTGGCCACACGCACACTCCCCCGGGGGGCCGGCGGGAGGGCAGGCACCAGGTCAGGCCCCGAGCCCCCTGCCTGACATGCACGACCCTGAGGTTTTGTTGGGTCAGAAATGACCTCTTGACTCCTTCCCATGTGGGAACTAGAAGGACTGTTTCCCTTTTTCTTTTAACGTCACTGCCTGCTGTAACCTACGACATGGGGCTCAGAGTGGGAGGTCTTACTCCTTCCCTCTCACTCTCCCTCCTCCTGTGGTCATCCACAGCCTGCTGGGGGCCGCGGTGGCCGCCTTGCAAAGGACCCTGTAGTGATGCTGACCCGGGGTGCCTGCAGCACTTTGCCTGCCTTTCTGGGTTGGCTTCTGGAAGTACCAGCCAGGCCACAGAGGAAACCCGAGGCTGCGCCGGGCCCTGTGCACCTCAGCGGGCTTGGCAGGGCCTCAGTCATCATGGCCAGCCCTCAGCGGCGACCCAGAGACCCCAGGCAGGCCGGAAATCCAGGCCTCGGGGTCCCGAGAGACATTCCTTTCTGCAAACCATCGTGTAAGAGTCCACGGCTGCTGGGCTCTCAGACCTAGCACCTGGGCCCCACAGTGCTCAGCGTGGCTCCCCGTGTACTTGGACTGTGTCCACTCTGAACAGATCATGGTCCTTCCCTAAAGACATGTCTGTGCTGGACCCTCCACCCCCCACCATGCTCTCGGTGCCCCCCCCATCCCAGAGCAGGCCCCCCTGGCTGGGGCGGAGCAGGGAATGGGCTGAAGGTGAGCCGCTCTGCCCGGCTCCCACGTCAGATCGCCTCATAGAACCAGAGCCTGTGGGCCAACTCGAATGTCCAGAACCATGGAACCGTCTTACCTAACTGGCGCGTGCAGTTGGGAGGAGCTCGCGTTTGCCAGGGGAGATGCTGACACATTCAACCAGATGTTGTGGGACCAAGCAGCAGTCAGACTGACCAGAGGAAGAGGGGGTTTGAGGCGTCTGTGCACAGCAGTCAGTGGCAGGCCGATGACATCAGCTTCCCGGGGTCCTTCGGGGCAGCCCCACACTCGGCAAGCCACGTGGGTAAGCCTCAAGCGTGTCCCGGACAGAGGGGCACTCGGCCAGCAATGTGCCCGGCCCTGCTCGCCAGGAGGCAGCAGAGGTCAGGGATGCAGAGCCCTGCAGGGTAGCAGACCAGCCTGTGCCACCTACGAGGGAACACTCTGCCCGATGCCCCAGGCCCAGGCCCAGAACTACTGCCCTGTCCTCAGAGGGGCCCAGCTATCAGCTCGCAGGGCCTCAGAGGCCCTGAGACGCCACGTCCCAGAAGGGTGCCACAGGCTGGTGTCTGTCACGGTGTCCACCACACGTGCGCTTGCCGTGAACTCCGGCTCCCGCGGTGCCAGCGGGGCCCTGTCGCTTGCCGCGCTATCAGAGGCCTTGTGGACTAAATGAGGGGCTGTCTGCAAGCTCGAGCTGCTCCAGGCCTGCCTCCAGCTCAGTCGCTTAGAAGTAGGCACGTGGGGCTCCCTGGGAGACCGTCCTGCACCGTCGCATCTGCAGTAGACATGGATGGAGCCACCGGAGCTGACGTGCCCCCCGCACCCCACAGGCAGAGGGTTCTGATCGCCCAGCCTGGGGGGTACGTGACCTGAACCCCGTCCGAATGGAAGCCTGACCTCAGTGTGTCTAACCCCTGCCCGGAGCCAGCTTTCACACTCTGCACGGAGACTGGGGTGCCCGGACCGGTAACGGGCAGATGCCCGGCCTGTACTTACAAAGGGAGAAACCCTATTTTTTAAAGCTGAACTCTTCATGGAACACGGGCCCAGCTCTCCCGCAATCGAGACGGACCAACACGTTCCTGGGACCACGCACCAACCCTCCAGGTTGCCTGCCGTGCGCACCCCCTTCTGATCCCGCGGCCACGGACAGCAGCGCCTCAAAGCCGTAACTCCAGAGCCGCGTAGAACATCCTGCCGTGGTGGAGTCTGTCCCGCTGCCTACGGCCCCCCTGCCCTGCTCTCTGGGGAGGTGAGACAGAGACGCAGCGGGATCCTGGTTCCTGGAGAGTCAGAGCCCCAGGTGCAGCCTGAAGTCGGATGCACGAGCCCCCTCCCTCAGCCCCGTGCCCCCATCAGAGGGTAAGAACCAGAAGTCGCTCCTGTCTCCCGGACCCAGGAAGATCCGTGGGTGCCTCCAAAGCTGGCATCTGAGGAAGTCGCAGCAGTGTTCCCCTGGGAGGGGTTGTTGTGTCCCGAGGCTGTTACCTTTCTCACCAGTAACAAGGCACGTGGGAGGGCTTTCTGGGTACAGAGGGAGCACCTGACTGAGGTACAAAGACGGAAACCATTGTATTAGGGGACCTGGCAAGAGACGGGAGCCGGGGGGCGGTATGGGCCCTGGTGTGTGGACAAGGGGTGACTGTACACGCTGGGCTCTGCTCCGTGGCTTTGCCCCCCGTGGACTTCTTGAAGAACTGCTCAGAGTCATCGCCGCCGACAGCTGTGGGTCAGGCCTTACCACAACAGGCAGTGGAAGCCATGGCCAGCGGCAGGCCGATCTCACAGCAGCCGCCCCCGCTGAGGGCCCGCAGGCCCCATAACCGATCCACATTCGGGGCCACAGTCAGGGAACCGGCCCCAAGAGCTGCCAGCCCAGGTGCTCAGAAAAGGCCGCGCCAATGGCCCAGCTCCCAGAACCCGGGTCTTGGCGGTCAGGCACGCTAAGTGTCCCCTTCTCTCGGCTCCACAGGGGACAGTTTCTACACCCGAGGCCCTGGGCTCTAGGCCTTGACACCCCCCCCCCAACTCCCCTTCACATGGGACACCAGCCAGCCCCTCACACGGGGGCCAGGCCTTGTTCTCCGGGTTCCCAGCAGGCACCCTCCCCTCCAGTCTCTTCCAGAAGCCTTTATGCCTCAGCCTCCTCTGTACCAGCACCAGAGTCCATTCCCTGTGAGGGGTTCCAGTCCCGGGGCCAGCTCGCTTCGCCCTGTTGTGGAACTGACGGCCAAGAACAGGCCCGGCTTTCAGCCCAGAGCCACCAGAGAAGGACCCTGCGAGGGCCCCGCCTGCCCAGGAGGCGTCCCCAAAAGGCCACCCCTCATCCTCCCTCTCCACCCCACAGGCAGAAATTGCCCTGACCTTCCCGCAGTGTTTCACTGGGACCCGCCACACGCAGAGGGTGCCCCGGTGTGGAGGCCTCTGCCCCAACCAGGTCCTGGACGCCCATCACTTTTCAAAATATTTTGCATTGTTTCATTAAAGCGAACATTAAATATTTGCCGTTCGGCTTGGCTTCTGTGCTAATTCTGCACAATGGTAGCACTGTACATTTTATCTAACATTTCTGTGCCAGAAAGTTCATTTCTGTAACACGTGGTCTTGATTAGGGTTTTGAAATAAAACTTCAGCTTCAGGCTCAGGAGGCAAGAAGGGGGACACGGGCACCCTCCCGCTCAGAGCAGACCAGCTACAGGCTCACCCCGCTACCCCTTCCCGCCGGCCTTGAGCCATCGCTGGGGACACTCTGGATTTTTCCAGAGCTGGGAGTTAGGCCCAGGGGTCTTTACTTCTGTGTCCAAATCCCCACCACCATCCTCAATGGGCTTCCTTACCTACCAAAGCAGTTTCCTTAGAGGAAAAAAAAAATGTACCTTCTCTACAAGACAGTTGAGCCTACAGCACGATGAGCACCCTGCTGGTAGAACCGGCTGAATTAATCAGCGACCTGAGGTCCAGGGGGCCGGTTCTTAGGGCCACACGAAGGCTTCAGCATAACTGGAAAACCACTAGCCCAGCTGCCCGGGTGTCACCCTTCCGCTCGGAACCTGAGCGGGTCTGCTTCCTGCCTTGATGAACTAAGTAACGAGGCCACTCCTTCACCTTGGAAGATTCTTTTTCACCATCACAGAGAGACCATGCAGGGGAGGCCCCTGCAAAAATTGGGACCGAAGCCGCTGAAGGGTACAAAATGGCAAATTGCACAGTTGCACCCAGAGGTGCTGAAATCAGCCCAGAGAGGAGGCATTTCCAGGAGCCGGGGGGGAGGCTGTGGCGTTCCTGGACAGGTTTCACGATCGACAAGTCAGCCTAGGACTTCACCCCCAAAGCCTCAGCTGAGCCGCCCCTGGTGTAAGCATTTGGTACAACACCTTCACGACCTTAGGAGATAAGGATATCTTGGAGGAGGGAGACTCGGAATGCTGGGTCTTCCTGGGGGAAGGACCCCCAACATCCGACGGGGTCCCTGTGAGCCCCCCGCTGGGGGAGGGGTGCAGTAAGATGGCAACATATCTAGAGCCTCAGGCACCGTCTGGACCTAAGTGGGGCCTAGCAGACTGCAAGGCTGGCTCTGAAACATGCAGTAGTATGTTAACTACCCTCTTACATTAAAGTTTACACAATAGAATTTTTAAACAAATGTGTTTAATTTTCTAAAATCTCTTCTATTAAAATTTTCTTTTGGAATACGTTGTGGTAATTTTGTTACAATCTGGTTGATACACCTCTTTACAATGACAATAAAAACGGTCTCATTTTATAAAGGAGACAGCCCACTTATGGTTGGTTTCTCTGTGTTCTTTTTCAGCAGCTGGGGCTTAGGCGAACTTTCAAATATACACATCCTGAAAATGTCCAGGTAGCTCATCCCCCCATTTCATAGGAGAGCTTGGAACCAGAATTGGCTCAGACCAACCTCACCTTGATTTGAGCTGAAATGGCACAGAATCAGACTGAGTGTTTGCCCTGTAGAATCAAAATGCCATACACAAAAACCCCTCATCACCGGTTCCTATGCACCCGGATCCTTCTTGGGCCCCATGATATACCAGGCACGGGCACAGAGCAGGGGACGTAACAGAGGCCCTTGTGCCGCCTGGCACTTGAGTTGATAGCTGAGAGTTACAAACAAACTGAGGATTGACGGGGGTCGGGGTGGGATGGGTTGGGGATGGGCACTGAGGAGGGCACTTGTTGGGATGAGCACTGGGTGTTGTATGGAAGTGACGAACCACGGAAATCTACCCCCAAAACCAAGAGCACACTGTACACACTGTATGTTAGCCAATTTGATGAATTATATTAAAAACAAATGCTTTGAGACAAATGAAAATGAAAATACAAAATACTGAAACTTCTGGGGTCCAGCAAAGCCAGCGTTACGGAGGAAATTCATAGCTATATGCTCACATTGACAAATAAGATCAAACAATCAACCTAGCTTTACACCTTAAGGAACTAGAAAAAAAAGACAAAATGAACCCAAAGCTAAGGGGTGGGGGGGGGAAGACTCAAACTACTAAAATAAGAAGTGAAAAGGGGGATGTTATTATAGATTGCTCAGAAATCTAAAGGATAATGAGAGTTGCCATGAATAACTGCTTGCCAAAAGGTGAATAGCCTACATGTAGCAAATTCTTAGAAACACAAAACCCTAAATCACTAAATTTTACCCCTGAAATTAGTATTACAGTGGATGTTACCTGGAATTTAAGTAAAAATTTGGAAGAAAAGAAAAACCTACCAAGACTGAACGCCAAAATAGAAAATCTGAAAAGACCTGTAACTGGTAAGGGGACTGAATCAGTGACCCAAAGTCTCCTGGCACTCGAAAGGCCTGGACCCAATGGCTTCACTGGTGAATTCTGGTGAAATTTTAAAGGACAAATGCCAAACCTCAGCCTTTTCCCCAAAAACTGAAGAGGAGAAAACACTTCCTAACTCATTCTATGGGGCCAGCAGTGCCCTGAAACCAAAACAAAGACACTACAAAGAAAACTACAGACCACTGTTCCTGGTGAACATCGATGTAAAAGTCCTCAAAAAATACCAGCAAACATGCAGTAGCACAACACTCTATACCATGACCTGACCAAGTGGGATTTATTCCTTGGATGCAGGAATGGTTCAGCATTTAAAATGTGCCACATCAACAGAATGAATGGAAAAACCACTCAATCATCTCAATAAGTGCAGAAAAAATCTCTGACAAAACTCAACACACCTTTCTTGACCTCAGCACTCAATTGCGGCACATGGGTGTCTCAGTCGGTTGAGCATCCGGCTTCGGCTCAGGTCATGATCTCACAGTCTGAGTTCCAGCCCCACGTCGGGCTCACTGCTGCCAGCTCAGAGCCCACTTTGGATCCTCTGTCCCTGTCTCTCTCTGCCCCTCTCCCACTTGCCCTTTCCAAAAATAAACATAAAACCTCAATAAACTAGAAGTCAAGGAAGCTACCTCCATCTAATAAAAGCCATATATGAACAATCCACAGTAAGCCTCATATTTACTTAACGGTGCAAGACTTTTTTTTCCTCTAAGATCAGAAACAAGACAGAGGTGCCCTATCTCACCACTTGGGCACTTTCCATGGTACTGGAAGTGCTAGCCACAGCAACAAGGCAAGGAAAAAAAAAAAAAAAAGGTATCCAAGTTGGAAAGAAGTAAAATTATTCCTGTTCACAGATGATAGGATATTCTATGTGGAAAGCCTTAAGTAGTCCCCACAAAAACAAAACTGTTAGAGCCCGTGAACAACGTCAGCAAAGTGCAAGACACCATCACACAAGGCAGCTGCACCTCTGCACACCCACTCAGCAACCCGAAAGGGAAATCATGACAATGATCCCACATCCAGAAGCATCAAAAAGAACAAAATGGTTAGGAATTAACCCAACCAAAGAGGTAAAAACTTTAGAGAAGATATAATAAGAGGAAATGCTACATTCATGGGCTGTAAGACATTGTTACAAGGTCAATACCACTATTAAAAAAAACCCTCAAAGATCAAGATGGCATGATGTAGATGGAATTCTCAAACTGATGCGTAAAACACAATCTGATTGGAGGTTCAACCTCCCCCAGACATAAAGTCCTAACAGTCATGAATTTTTTAATCTGCGCCAGCAAGTCTGCCACCTGAGCCTTCTCCATCCTCCAAAGAGAAAGGAGGTGATCTGCAGGCACCCTGCTCTTCTCCCCGGGAACTGGCTTCATTTGTAACAATCCTTTTCCTTTGCTAGTAGCCTTCTTACCCCTACACCCTCTCCTTCTATAAAATCCTTCCATTTCATACCACTCCTTGGAGCACCTCTCAGCCTGCTACATGAGTTGCTGCCTAATTCATGAATCACATAATCCAGTTAGATCTTTAGATTTTTTTTAAAATTCTTTTATGTCTTTATTTTGAGAAACAGAGACAGAGAGTGAGTGGGGGAGACACAGAATCTGAACCAGGCTCCACGCTCTGCTGTCAGCACAGAGCCCGACATGGGGCTCGAACCCACGGACCAGGAGATCATGACCTGAGCCGAAGTTGGACACTTAACCGAGCCACCCAGGTGCCCCAGATCTTCAGATTTACCATAACTGTGTTATTCAGCATGATACAAAGCAACCCACCAGTTCATGGCAATCCCCATTAAAATCCCAATGACCTTTTATGCAGAAATAGAAAAACCTCAAATTCATACAGATTCTCAAGGGAACTTGAGCAGCTAAAGCCACGTTCGAGAAGAACAAAGCTGGAGGACTCACACTTCCCGATTTCAAAGCTTACGATAAAGCTACGTTCATCAAATCCTTATACTGTGACATAAAGACAGACATACAGATGAGTGGAATTGAATGGAGAAACTAGAAATACACTCCACGTACGTATATGATCAAAGAATTTTGACAAGCGTTTCAGGGCCCATTCTGTGGGGAAGGGGGAGTCTTTTCCACAGATGGTGCTGGGGGAACCTGGATATCCACATGCTGCAGAATAAAGCTCAATCCTTAGCTCCTCACCATATACAAAAATTAACAAAGTTGATCAAAGGCCTAAAACTGTAAAAGTTTTAAGAGATAATAGGACAAAACCTTGATGGACATTGAACTTGACCATGATTTCTTGGCTATGATGCCAAATGCACAAGCAACAAAAGCAAAAATTGATCAGTTGGACTAATGAAAAATAAAAAAGATTTAACAACTAAAAAACCGTGTCGCCAAAAAAAAAGAACGACAAAAAAAACCCACAAAGAAGAAATCTGTAGATCACGTATCTGATAATAGGTTAGTATCCAGAATATACACAGAACTCCTAAAACTTAACCAACAACCAAATAATTAGATTCAAAAACGGGCCAAAGACTTGAATAGACATTTCTCCCAAGACGATATACAAAGGGCCAAAACACACCAGAGGCTCAACATGACTGATCATTAAGGAAATACAAATCAAAGCCACAATGAGAGAACATGAAAAAAATGGGGTTAAGATAGTTTTGTTATGTTT